TAGTCATTGTAATATATTCCCTTTCCCCCATTCTGAGTCTGGTGTGTTTTGTCTGGAAAAACCCATCTCACATTAGGTTGAGATGTGGGAGGGGGCTTAGAAAAGGCAATTGGACTTTGGGGCTATCTCAAACCATGACAACACATTAGATGTGGAAAAGTCACAGGGAAGTAGCTTGGTTCCAGATCGTTCTTAAAGAAAACAAAGAAATAAAAATTGTGCCTAAATAGGTAAAGAAAACAATTGCTGTATAAAAATATGTTCTTAGTTACCCATGTCTAACTAAATAAAACTAGCCCTACAGCTGTACAGATCTTTACTGATACCTCAACATGCTAACTGAAAACAAGAAATCCTGGATTAGAAATCAGCAGAGTTCAGAGCAATCCAAAATGGGGATTCTTATTTTCTTTTTTATTTCCTCTTAATGAAACTTTAAGAGTTGAGAGCTGTGCCAACAGGTTTTGTTTTGTTTTGTTTAAGATTCTTTAAGGTGCTGACATCTTAAGGAACATGTTACCTCTTATCTCCACTCAACATTTCCTTATCTAACACCTGGCTCAGGTGTTTAGGGGACAGATCAGAGATGCAGTGGGGTTTTGTCTGATTTGTTGGCCTGCTTCCCTTCATGTGACCCAAACACTTCTTGGTTCACTCTGAGATCTACTTTTTGTAGCTCTCACTTTATTTCAATGGCCAGAGTGTATCAGGATATTTAAAAAAATGTCAATTCTCCAACTTGTACATTTGTCAGTGAGGAATAAAGTTGTCTATTGGTGAAGTGCCATATTACTCCAGGGCTGTTCCTAGAGAGCTAGAGTTGCTGGCTTCTAGACAGTTGGGCCAAAACACAGTGTTTGTACAGCCAAAACACAGTGAAGGACAGGATTCATTTGTTCATGCACGAGGTTGTGTAATTGTGCTGATGCTTCAGGCATTTGGCAGATGATAACCAAGGCTTCTGAAAGTCCAGGTTAGCAGATCTGAGAGTAAGCAGTTCTCAAGTATAAACTACAAAACACAAAATCACAGCTTGGAATTTGGTATGGAATCAGGATATGGGCTGAGAAACTCCTAGGTAAGGAAAAACTGTGTCATTTCCAGTTTGTGGTAGACTGTAAGAAGGCACTTCAAATGTCCTTGAGCTCCTTAACTGAGTTTCTTCTCATGAAGCAAAACTCTTGGTGTCCTAGTCCCTGAGAGATGGTACATGATATAAATGACTATTCCTCATCTTCAGGGATCTGTCTGCCAGTATTCAGGAATGTTGCTGCTAAAGTACTAATTAAGCGGAAACAAAAAGGGGGATCAAAATGGATATCAATAAAATATCTGTTACTTGGATAATTTCACATTACTACTTTATCCCTTAATCTTCCCCAAATTTCTTTTAATTTTCATCAAGGAGATAGTAATTTTGACCACTATTGGCATTCAAACTAGGTTGAAATGAACTGGCAAATACTGGCCTTTTCTTCATGCATTAGATGCACTATCAGCAGAGCAGAACCTACTGGTTGAATTTTGTACTAGCAAGTGTTGGTGTTTTGCTTTGTTTTCATTTCATTGAGTGGTGCCATCTAAAGAGTTGCACTTGATGATCCTTGTGGGTGCCTTAGAACTCAGAATATTCTGTAATATAAATATCATTTTCAAAACACTGACCATTCCTCTACCAAAACTGTAGCTAGACAGAAGGACTTTGTCTAACAACTCTTACACTAGCCCTGCTAACAGTGGTCCAGAGAAATTGTAGAATATCTCAGGTTGGAAGGGATCCATAAGGAGCATCAAGTCCAACTCCTGCTTCTCGCAGGACTATCTAAACCTAAACCATATGACCGTCATCCAGACACTCCTTGAACTCTGACAGGCTTGGTGCCATGACTGCTTCCCTGGGGAGCCTGTTCCAGTGACTGACCACCCTCTGGATGAAAAACCTTTCCCTAATGTCCAATCTGAACTTCCACCAATGCAGCTCCGTTCCATTTTCTCATGTCCTATCACTGGTCATCAAAGAGGAGATCAGCACCTCCCCCTCCACTGGCCCCTGTGAGGAAGCTTTAGACTGTGATGGTATCACACTTCATCCTTCTCTTCTCCAAGCTGAATAAGCCAAGTGACATCAGCCACTGCTTGTGAGTCTTGATCTTGAAGCAGTCTACCAGTGCCAAACCTGCTCCCACTTCATTGAGGTATCCTAAACTGCCATGGCCATAAAGTTAATGCATCCAGTGCCACTCACCCATTCCATCTGCATGCAAACTCCAGCTCAGTAATAACATTTTGGATGGTTGTTAATAAACTGTACTTGGTTGCAGGAACAGTCACAGAGGAAGGCAATTCTGACAAACTTTTCCTTAGTCCTGTGCTCTGCGCTCTCTGAAGATCTAGGATGCTCTTTCCTTTTCATGCGACCTCATGTCAAATATGTTTTGGGGCATCAATGCCTTGTGGTTTAATTAGTATGGCTGCTTCTCTTTCTCCCTGGGACTGGGCTGAGGAGTGACCTGATATGGCAGTGTGTCAGATCTGGGAAATTAATTCCCAACTATTTCTTCCTTCATCAGTCATCAGCCAACTGCTGCCCTCAGACCAGGTAATTATACAGGCAGTTCAGATAGGTCTTGCTACTGAAGGACCACGGAATCCTTGTTCTTATTTCTGACTCCTAAGGCTGGATCCACTTCTCCTAAGCACAGTTACCATGAAGTTGGACATCCAACACAACCCAGTCATCACTTTCTGCTTTTGTGGCCAATAGAGAGAGAGAGGGAGAAAATCTGATCTCCCCAGCATGACTCATCCCATCCTAAACAAGAATCTAAAATAAGCAGATATCAAGCCAATAATCTCAGAAGTTAATTTATCTTTGGTATTAGTAGCATATAGTTGTTTTTTGGTTTTGTTTTTGGGTATTTTGCCACATAAAGCTAGCTCCCATAAACCTGTCCTAATGGTGAACCATTCTTTGCTGGGCAAATTTGCATCTTCTTGCCGCTTTCTCCTGGTAAAGGGTTGCTGTAAATACTCATCAAGGAAGGGACAGAGAGGGTAGTCACAATTGGAAGGTGGTTATGAGATCTACAGCTCTGGTGTCTGCTCTTTGCTGCTTGAGTGTCAGGGAGGTGAGAATTGCAGAGGTATGAGCTAAGGAAATAAGTACGAACTGCTCTAGACTCCCTCACGGCATTATCTAACTTTGTGAGGAAGCTGTGAAATCTATTGCTTTGTTAACTTTTATGCCATATTAAACTTCTATATAAAAACTATTATGTTTTAATTAATTACACAATTGTGAACAGCTATTTGATAGTAGCGAGAAACTATGAGAATGCAATGGCATTCTGGTTAGGATGTGTTGGCCCCACGCTCACCCTCATTATGGCAGGAGCATCCTGCTATTTAAGCCTTAAAGACATGAAGTAAAGGCATGAAAGCAGAAAAGCCCCACAATTAGGATGACGTGGTGTTTTACTGCATTTTTTATTGGCATAAACACTTCCCAGAATAACAGCATGAATCAGTCATCTGAGCCAATGTTTAGTAGTCATGAGTAAAGCAGTACTGTTAATATTAAAATGAACTAAACTTGTTTGGTTTGAAATTAAGTGGAGGTAGACAAGAAGAAATTGATGAGGAGAAACAGCAAGCAGTCTTAAACTCTCTCAAAGAAGAACAGGAGCCTTTACAAAACTAGTATGTTGTGGCTTTTTTTGGCCTGAACAGCTGTATCAGCATGCCTTTTCAAGTATTCTTTGAGTGTAATTGTGTATATTTCTTAAGAGTGGCAAAGGCAAACAAGGTCTCATGTTCAGCTGTGGGAGGAGGTGGGTTTGCTGCCCTGCTGCCCACCCCACCACAGTGCTGGAGGTGATGCACTCCAAGGCACAGGGCAGTCTCACCTGACCTTGCAGCCCAGCTCCTACATGGGTACCTGCCTGCCCTAGCACCTTGCAAGAGCAATGTCAGTGTCAGGAGAAGAGAAGAGGGACCTGCTGGGATATAAGTGACTTAACAAACTAGAAACCTGGGTCTGTTCCCCCAGCACCCCACTTTCAGATGCAGTACAACAAATGGAGTTCCCACCTTCACGGTTCCCACCAGTGCTCTGCCCAAAATACACTTGCTTGCTTTTTCAGTGGTTTTGTCTCATGACAGTACTGCAGTGCTTCTTTTTCCTCATATCTGTAATCAAATACACACACTTTGCTGTACAAACTGCTAGGCAGCCTCTCACTCTTCAGTAAATTTCCAAGGCACAGGTATTTGACTTAATGAAGTGCTCGTGTTTTGCCCAGTCACCACTGCCTGTCTGATGCTGCCTCTGAGGGGTCAGGTAGAGATAAAAGTCTCCACTCCCCCCATCACCACCCACCCCTGACACAGCTGTAGAGGTGTTGGACCACTGCCTGCTCGCTGATGTGGAGGATGCATGAGCCCCTGCAGCCACCACTGTCAGATGGGCACTCTGTCCTCATTTGTACCCTGCTCACAAAAAAAAGGCAGCTAATATTAGGTGGTATCTAGGGACAGGGTGGAAGCCTGCAAACAGATATGCTGGAAGTCTTAACTGGATGGTGCGGCCACTCCACAGCAGATGGTGGGAGCACTTCAGAGTCTCAGCACATTTAGTATGTTGGTTATATCAGAGTTGGAGCACGTCCTCACAGCCAGGATTGGCAGCTCGGGGCCAGCTCCATCCTGGGAGCTGTGCACTCTTTTGGCATGTGAGAGTTGGAGGGTGGCCGGAGCACAGAGCCTGATGCCTGGCTGGGGGGCAGGCAGACCCGGCCTCCCACTGCTCCCCAAGCCTGGCAGTGATTGTGGCATCTTAAAAATGGCATTTCATCTGCAGCCCTGTTGAGAGAAGAAAAGCCTGCTTGTTCTTCAGCTGCATGAGCTGCTTGTCACCAGCTCCACTGAAGGAAGCTGCCCACCTCAGAGAAAAGCAAAAAAGCACTGCACACAAATTCTGTAAAGAAAATGTTTTATTTAAAGTGTTAAATACCATCACCAGAATGAGTTTGATTTACATTAGTTGGTGTTCATGACAGGCCTAATCTGCCCTTTTTTTTTTTTCCCCAACTGTAATTCCTTTTAGCTTTTTAAAACGTACTATGTACAAGACAGCAGTGATCACTGGAATAGTGCTATTTACATGACTAAATCATAAGTAGAGTTGCAGACGTGTGAAAATTAAAAAAAATACATTAATTTTTTTAAAATAAATACTGCATAACAACAAGTATGTACAAACCTTCCATGTGTCATCTCCTTGATTTTAAAATTTGAAATAATTTATATAGGTCTATGCATACAAGAATGTGTGAGCACATCTCACAGTGTCAGGAAAATGGTTATGTATTTTTGTTTATATCCTAGGGGATATTGTAGACTGTATGTTAGTAGTATTTATTTGCTGCTGGTAGACAGGTGTCTAAATTATTTCAATAAATATAATTTTACCAGTCTGTCTATTAACAATAATCCATTATATAAACTCTGCAGACAAGACACAATCTCGATTTCTATGATATTGCACAAAGTAAAAGGCATTATAAGTGATACTGTTATTACTTTTGCCCTCTTACGAGGCATTTACAATTTGTTAATGGGAAACTTCAATAGATTTTTCAATAAAATCAGAATAATTCTGTGTGGCCTTAAAGGTAAATGTAATGTATACTTCAAAAATTATTGCAAGGTTTCAATAATAAACCTTAAGTAGGTATTAAAGGCATACAAAGACCCAGAAAAAAAGGATATTTGTTATTAAATGTTAGCCAGTTACATTCCGTTTAAACAACATAATTTAATGAGAAGCTTGAACTTGCAGCACCACCCAATGGTAGTTACTGTATGCTACAAAAACCAGGTTTTTGAAGATGCATTAACTGCAGTGAGGTTCTGGTAATGGCGTCAAATAGCTGTCAGAGTGGTTCTGATAAGCTTTCTTTAAGGCTATTTTACAAACCAAAGACTGTTATTTTCCAGACTGATATTACCTAATTATGTCTTTTGCAATGCAAATGTAATTTATGAAAATTGAACTTTACAGCAGAAGAACTGTCTGGATTAGTAACCTGTGTTGCTTTTGTAATCTCAAAAACGTAGCAATCAATTTGGTTTAGTGCAAATAAAAGTGCTTAAATTTATTTCCTAAAAATCAACCAGGTACTTAATTTTTTCTCTTTCCAAAAACCTTCAAGAAATGATAGTTCAGTCTTTGAATGAAAGATGCTGGTGCTGAAAACAAATTTATTGAAGACATCTTACAATGGCCACATGATTCCAGTATTTTGCTGCAGAATTCAATTTGAAGGTGAGAAAAAAATGAAAATAAGTTACCATGCACTGTACAATAAATTGCAAAAAGTTCAAATATCTTCTTTATCAAATACATGCTGAATTACATTAATGTACTCCCAAGCCATGTTGCAAAATCCTTTTCAACATGCTTGAAAAAAAGTAAGTTCTTAATCAATATTTTTCTCAAATAATTCAGAAATGCAGAACAATCTGCAACCCTGAACCAAATATGGGGCATAAGAGAGTAATAAGTCAAAAGGTAGCCATTTTAGAATATTCTGATCATCCTGGGAGGTAGAGGGGAAAAAGAGCAAAAGGAAGAAGGGAGACTGGAAGGAGAGATAGAGAAAGGAGGTGGTAAAAGAAGTGTACAATTTGCACATTATGTTGAACTTTACAAGGCTTGTACCTTTTACATTTAAATAAATTTAATATATTACACTTATTTCTTGTCACATAAACAGAATTTTAAATATTTGCTAGAAATTATTTTTTATTTTTAATATAAGTCTGCAAAAATACAGACCATGATTGGTTTAAAGAATGATAAACGTGGTGTGTCTTTGTATCACCCTGTTGCATTCTCTTTCCTTTAAAACCATGCACTAGTGAAATTTATTTTTAAAAATAATATAAACTGTTGAAAATGGCTGATTTATTCTTTTTTCTTTTTTTGCAAGTTGCAGCCCCAAGAAAATAATTTAAGTGTTCAGCTAAATCTGTGTCCATGCAAAAAAGTTTCTTAATTTCATACAGTACAGTATATCCACAGAATTTTATTTTTCAGAGAGTCCATCATGTCTGGGGTTTCACTGTGTGAATAGCTGGAGGTATGAAGCCCGCCACTTTAAGTCTTGAACCTTTTCAATATGGAGATTTTTCAGATCTCAAGCAACTGCTACAAGTGCCAGTTGACTTTTCCAGCATCCTTACATTCTTCTTTTCTTCCACTGTCTGCTATTCCACTGACTTGTAACGTGGCTTCGTGGGAGGGTAACTCCATTTCTGTGGCATAACCAAGCTTTAGGAGTAGAGGGCAGATAAATAAAGCAACGGGAGCAACAAAACAGATATGCTATTGAAAAGGACTTTTGTTGCATGAAACAGATTGATTTTTTTAGTTTAGTCCATGGCTTCAGATTGGACCAAAACTGAGTCCCTGAACTCCAAACCTATCAGTTCTTCATGATTTCAGTCCATCACCTGAGGGCCTTCTGTAGGGCACAATGTGTGCAACTTCCTTGAGAACACAGGATCGCGTTGCAGCCCTAGAAACAGGCTCAGAAGACACAACATTAAGCATGCAGTGTTACCAGGGTTTGCGACCTGTAATTTTATTTTTTTGTAACGCTGGTTGCTATGACAACAGTTTCACAGCTGCTATGAGCGAGAATATGAAGGTCCTGTTGAACTTTCAAGAGATGATTGGGAAGCTCTTCTAGTGAGAGGAGCTAAAGTTGGGTCTACTAGGGAAGAAGGAGGAAAAAGTTTGAACCACCCAATCACCATGTTGGACAGGTCCAGTTCATCTAAAAGTATCTGTGCCACTCCCATAAAGGATTTGTGATCCATACGTCCATAGTCTCCCCAAACAATTATCTGTTGGGAAAAGAAACAAGAAAATAGAAAGATTTCAGCAAAAATTATGAAAGCTTCAATCTGTTTTGTCAAATGTCTGCTTATTTAATTACAGTAAGGAATGAAATATTTGACTGTTGACATAGTTCAGTTCTTTGCATGCTAATTCATGATGGAGACACAGAAATGATCTGGGCAGTAACAGAGCAGTTATCCATGATACCAGAGAAAACTGAGTGAGAGGAGTCCATATACATAGTAGAAGCAAAATAATCTGCAGCTAACTTTTGCTCAGTACTTTCTACTTGCAATAGATACCTGTTGCTCAACAGGTATTTTAAATATCAGAATTTATTGCCAAATGAAGCATGAATGGAAGTTTGAAACTCATTCAGTGAAAACTGTACATGTGACATTTTCAGGTTCAGATGAACGTTCATGCAAATTACCTGTAAAACTTTCCCTTGGGGACTTTCTTCAAAAGATAGAAGTTGCTGATAAAGTGGTTCCAGAGTTTTTCTTGCTACCTTTGTCTTCTTTTTGGCTATGCAGACTCCATTTTCTAATAGATACACCTTTACATATGGTGCTTTTAAGAAAGAACATAAAGAACAGTAAGTAAAGAAGAAGTCCAGATTTTTTGCATAACAGATGCACTTTCTATTACTATATAAAAATCTGCCTTTTAATGGATATATAACTTATATGAACAAAACTCCACAAGCAATATTAATAATTATTCCCATGCGAAGCATCTATGCATTTTCTTTACTCTTCTCCCTGGTATATATTTTCTTGACTTCTTTTTATATGTCTCTTTTGCCATGAAACAATTCAGATTTTGACCTGAAAAAATTAGGTATTCCTATATATAGTGTCCCTTTACTGTACAAAATGCAAAATAGGCCTATTAAGTAAATGAATGACTTGCAATGACTTTGGTGAGATTTGAATCAATGCTCCAAATTGTTAATAATTTAAAATTATCTACAAGGTGAAAATCAGTGAAGAAAAGACTGACACAATTTCTATTTTGGCAGAAGAGCTTGCTAAAAATAACATTATATTGTCCTTTTCATATAGTGTTATAGGACGTTAGATTATAAAATAAGTATCAAATACTGGTCTACTTTTTGAGTAGGTACCTATTCCATGTCTCTTGATTCCCTCTTCATTCCTAAGATTCCTACACAAAATCTTCAGTATATACCTTTCTTTCTACCCCATAATAAAGGATGCATTTGCTATTGCTGAAATATTTTTGTGTCTTCTGGTAGCCTGATTTTTAATTTCCTCCTGAAGTAGGGTTGATTTTTTTATATCATTTCAATATGTTATGCATATTGTTATGCACATATATGTTATGCACAGTGTACAACATTGTGATTTACTGAGAGGTAAATTTGATAAGAGTTTACCATCCTGAACAGAAAAAACATGGATTTTTTTGGTAGAACTCTATTCTTAGAATCATAGAATGTACTGAGCTGGAAGGGACCCATCAAGATCAACAAGTCCAACTCCTGGCACTGCACTAAGATCGTTGCCAAGATTTTTCTTCCTCACCTGGCAGTGTCTTTGAACCTGGTTTTACAACAAGGCCACGGGCTCGGATTATTTCTACTTCCAGTTGTCCTTTCTTGTCCATCATTCCCACCTGAATATCTCCTAGGTAACAGAAAGAAATCCTGGCATTGTAATTCAGAAATACTTAAATATATGAAATGTCATGAGAATTTCTAGGATGAATATGTAGTGACTTGTATCATCTGCTTTCCTTCAGGAAGTATGATCTGGATTTTAACACTAATAGATAATTTAATACTTACCCTCTTCACTGCTGTTTATGTTAGTAAACTATTTAAAAACCCTGCAATAAGATCTTGACTCCCACTTCCCATGCCCCTATTACTTCAAATTAATTTCCCTTTCTTGTCTTAAGAATTTCATATTCAAAAAAGGCATCAAGGGAATTAGTACAAAGCAGCTCTGTAAAGATGCTTGAAATCTCTTCACCATGCCTTTAGTTTAAGACACATATGAAAAGATAACCTGTGAATATTAAAAAGTCTGTAAGCACAATAATAACAAATACTTTGCATCTAAATTACCATTTTTATACGACATTATCAAAGAGATTCAGAGAAAAAACTGGTCTTATTAGTCCCATTTTAAGGATGGAAAACTGACAAAGAAGACATAAAAGACTGATTTTTTTCAAAGCACCTTACTACTTTAGAATGTTTTATTAAGCATCCATGATTACTTTGGCTGCAGTCATAGCTTTGGTCTTAACTGAGTTGTTCAAAACCACATGGGAAATCCATATTTAAAGGGAATCTAGATAAACTCTATGTTCTAATTACCAGACCAAATCGAATATATCGTATCTATAGGACATAAACTCTTACCCATTGATGGTGTTGCCAAAGTCTGTCGTCCTACAAGCTGGGCGGGACCAAGTCCATCCAGAAAATCACTGAACTGGCTATCTGCAGCCAACCTCACACCAGGGAAAATCAAACTAGAAATAAAATAAAAAAAAAAAAATTGAAATTTTGTTTGTTTGTTTTTTGGTTTTTGTTTTCTAAATGTTTTGCACTTAGTGTTCCTGCTCACAAGGAACTTGCAAAACAATTACTGTAAATTTCAAAATTTCAGTGTTCAACAAACAGCAATTCAGCCTCCAGCATATAAACAAACAAGTAACAAAAGCACTGATCCTCAATACTTTTGCCATTAGTATTTTTCCATCACGCTCTCTTTTTCCAATATATTAAAGACCTCTGTTAATTATTGTAGTATTCATATGAGACCAGTTCAGTAATATATTGATGCACATCCTTACCACTTATTTAGTTACATGAAGGTAAAATTGCTCACGTTTCTCAGTCACTGTGAACTCAATGGCTGAATATCAAGTGCACACGGTGAAACGATGACATTAGACTGAATACTGATCGCTATTTTTAAAATCACCTTTTAAAATCAGCATCCATTCTATACATTTTGTTAAAAACGTCCTTGAGAATGCCATCTATTCAATAATGGAACTGGAATCCATTGTGGCAAATGACCAAAGTAACTTAAAATTCAAATTCTTGCCATAAATTATCTGTGACCCATTACAAAGCAACAAGAACTAATGAGATTTGTAATGACCAACCATAAAGAAACGTCCATCTCAAGTGCATATAGTGCATCAACCTGGACATGTAAGATATATTGTGCAGCACAAATATACCACCAGTGCTGTGAATACCACTAATAAATCAACCCACAATAAGACTTTTCTTGGCAATGTCTTGGGTATACCGCTCATAAGTCTTTAACTTGGGCTCTTATGAAAAGTATGATATGTGACAGACTCATACTTCTGCCCAGATAATGTCTTTAGGATTAAAGTAGCAGAATCTTTGAAAAACTCTAGAGCCCAGTGAATGACACCAAGAAACGTTCTGGAAGTGCTTTGCTCTGCAAAACACTGACATATGCAAGGAGTTTTTGGAAGAGAATTTGTCCTTATCTGTGTTTTACCTGGCATTCTGCACCTGTTTCCCCCTCCTGACACACCTCATGTTGATGTTCTGACCTTCCAGAAGCCTTTCTTATGGCACAAAAGAAATGAGCCTCATCCTTACTGCACCAACAATGGGAGGCTCTTTCTGTCATAGCGGAAGGCCTAGGTTTGGTCCATCAATGACACTAGCTTGTGAAGGGAATTCTGACTGCACAGGATCTACAGCGTTCACTGTGCTTCTCTCTAACTACCAGTTTCGTGCAAAAATGTCAGGAAACCAGAGTTATAACTACCACTTACTTTCCCTCAGAACTGTAGCTGTTCATGCTCCCATCCGTCGATTCCCGGCTAGCCTGACGAGTCATCCAGTTCCTCATCTCCACAGCCAGCCCTGTCTCAGTGCTCCTCTGGACGGTGCTTCGCAGCTTCTTACCTCCTGCTTCTGTGGAAACAAAAGAGAAGCCCCCATCACACTGTGCTGTCCCAGCTGGGCAGCCCTGCTGGCAGCACACCACCACTCCATGTGGCAAGAACACTCAGAGACAGAAATTAACGACCTGTACCAAAACTTCCATTCAAAAATTAACAAGTTTTTAATAATAGTCGAGCAGCATCGTAAATCTCTTTTACAGGACCTTAGCTCTGTCACTGCCTGCTTTTCAAGGTCAGACAGCATGTACACAAAGCAAGTCTGCTCACAGAGGTAACCAGATTTAAACAATCCATAGTCTAGCATGTTTAAAATATATTTTCTTTGGGTGAATAAATCCCTCTTAGGAATTCAATTAAATGTTACCATGATGTCAAAACCTGCAGATGAATTATTTTAAAACGTTTGGTCATTATCTGCTAAATCAAGTTACAGATATCCATTAGTGAGGATCATAAACCATAAATCAAGAACCCTTCCCATGCTTTCTTCTCTATTCACTAGCTACCTTAAATTTATATTTAAAATATGCAGTATTGGTTTTTATGCACAATATGAAACTTTATCACCACCTCCAAGAATAACGATTTTTCTATCTGCTCGCATAGTTTAATTTTAGTTGTAAAAACAGCAACATAACAGACATCTGAGTATCAGACACAGGAAAAAATACTCAAACAATATAATAGTATTTTAGTAACATTTAGGAATTTTGATCAAAACCTCAGCTGGAAGATATACTGAACACAACACACACATAAAAAAAAAAGAAATTAGTAGGAATGAAGCTTCAGTTTTCCTTTCATTAATAAGACAGTCACTCCATGTCATTTCTGATTTTAAATGCTGTTCCCTGCAATGGAGCAAGTAATTTTGCATACCAGTTTCTTTTATCTGTTCTATACACCTCTGACTTCAGCACAGTGATGTGTGATATACAGATAATATTATAAAAGAGCAAGAACTCTAAATGTAAGCTATACCAAATAATAATAGAATTCTTAAATATTGACACAATGAGGGTAAAGTAATAACCAATATCCTAGGACATCTAGGGACTCAACTTCCTTCTGCAGTTGTTTGTAGCATCTGCTACCCTCTACACCTTTGCTGGCTCATCATGTACCAGAGATCAGAAGAATTTCTGGACCTGTGTGGTTGGTGAATCTCTAGGGATTTGAAAATGGAAATGAGCAAAGGGAGGAGATTGTCCTGGGACCAGGACTCTCACACTCCATGGAGAATATGTGAACACAGGGACTGACTTAGAGTAAGAGGACCTGTACCCTCAGGGAATGGAATAGAGATAACAGTTTCAACACATGCATTCAGTGTCACTGTCCTGACAGTGCAGCATGGGATGAAGTCTCCCAGGCCCCTCAAGTCAGGAGGAATATTAGGTCAGATAAAGAACATGGGAAATTAAATGAAGTGGGAACTAGACACCAAAAATACCTTGAAAACCACCAGCTCCTTGTCAAGAAAGATTAATAACACTGCAATATTTAACAGCAGTGAGACATTTCTATAGCAGTATCATGAGTGGTTCAAATCATGTTGGTTATTACAAGCCTTCTACATATTCCTTAAGACCATAACTTTTAATCAGTATGTAAATATAACAGAAGTAGTAATTCTCCTCTAGAACTTCAGCTGCCCACATGAATGCAGTACCCAATAGAATGAAAAAAAATTTGCTACTAATCAAAACTACTTCTCAAAATGCCCATTAATACCTGATGCAGAAAATACAAATAAAAAAGATACCAGGCTAACATGACATAGGAAAAATGAAGGGCAGAAATCAACAGTTTCATTTCTATTGGGTTGTACTGTTCCAAGCGCCTGCTGTTTTATAATTTATATTCAACTGATGAAAGCTGGCAGCTGACTTCCAACATTGGCCCAGAGTTGTTCTAAAATACAAGCACTCATTTCAAAGAAATATTCTCACAAAACTGCCAGAAAAATATTGTGCTATAGTTTTGTAGAAAAGGTACACTGTATCATAGCTACACAGGAAAGGCACACAACTCCTGAAGCCCCATACTTGTTATTGTATTGTTACAGGATATTACTCTCCCTTTCCAAGAGCTCTTTTGATCTGTAAACATTCATTTTTATGCAAATTTAACAGAATATCTACACCTTGCATGATTCTTTAATATCTTCATATAATATCTTTCAAAGATTTTGGGGCTTGGGTGCTATATATGTTTGATTATGTGATGCACGAAGGAGTATATAGTAACTTTTATTAATTTGTAAGGCAGATTTTTTTGTTCTGAATTAGAATTATAAGTCTGTATGCCTTTACTCTAGAAGAAAATTCATAGAATAAAAAATCAACATGTTCATTGCACATCAATTTACTGAGAAATCAAGGCAGAACCAGTGCAACTGCCATTCAAGTCTTCATGGAGGCACATGTGCAGCTGCTCACAGCATCCCTCTAAAACTTATTTTTAAGTAGTTTTACTTTCCCACATTGATTTTAATTGAAGTAAGTGCTCTGGTTCTCGTGACAACAGGCACACAGCTGATAAGATACAACTCTTATACAGCATGAAGTTAGGCACGTGTAATATATCCAACTTTTGTATAAGTGTGAGTGGTAAACAATAGTCATTTTGACCTTAATACTGAATTTAAGGAGGGCCAAAAGGAATAACTATAATAACGTGAATAACTATTTCCCAGCTTTCAATGGAAACAGTCAGTGCTCTCTGATGGTCTCCAAAGATCTGACCTTTGATCAATAAGGCTCCTAATCATTATTTTGATGCTTCTTGAAATAAGAATTGAAGATTTCAACAGTAAAATGGCAACTTGGAAGAGAGGTATAGAAGACTCAGATCACAGGCATGACTCCTGAGCTACTGCTTGAGAGATGAATATTCTTTCAGATGAACCTTGGTTAAACTAATATGTAATAATACACATGAGAAATACTCCCACTTGATTGCCCAAAATACTAGCAATACATTTATACCTGGAAAAATGTTAATAAATAAAAAATAATCTTACAATTCCTCAAACAATTTAAAATCAAAGACAGTATTTGTATCATCCATAATTTGTTTCATAAATTCAGCATTCAAATACTTAAAATGTTGTGAGTAGCAATGAAAATGTAAAGTATTTACTCAACTCAAAGAAATAGCCTTTAGTGCCATACTTCCAGGCTGTACCTGGTAGAACATCTAGTTGAAGATCTTATCACTCCAGTAAATCCAAACTGGTTTCCCTCATTCCTGCCTGGAAGTTGAAACCTCTCTTGTGTTTACTCAACTACTCATGTGGCTGCATTCTGTACTGAACCCAGACCAAAAGGAACAAACCAACAACATGAATTAAAGTTGTTCTTTTTCTTTTAAGACAGATAATTTAAAAAAAAAAATTGTGAAAACAAGTATACAGTTGAATGAACCCAACTGAAGTAATGCTAATCTCTAGCTAGATGAATAATTTGGGAATGCATCTGACACAAACACAGAAATAAACATGTAACTGGTGTCACTGTAAAAGTGGGGGGTTTATAATCCTAAAGTATATATACATATACACTCATGTTATGCATGCTGTTTTAATCTTACCAAATAAAAGGACACAGAAACAAGAGGGTTTAGAAGTGTACTTTTTTGTTAAATATGTTGCTGACCACCTACACTGAAAATCATTTTACTCACAATTTCCTAAACTCTAATAAAGAACATGGAAAATGTTCTTCAAATTAGTATAAGCTAATTGCCCTAGCAAGATGAAATTTCTCTCAAGTCCCCATCACAAAATATGGAATACATTATCCTCAAAACACTAGTTCAGATTCTTGCAGCCATATTGTAAGGAGTGGAATAAATTACCAGAAATAATTGCTTTGGTATTTATGAAAGCACATTCATTCTTATGGTTAATCACACTGGTAATTTAACTAATATGGTTACTGCAAATAGACTCCGCAGGCCACATTTTCTAAATTACATGCAGAATTATTTGTTCCCACAACTTGGAGTGCAAATCACTTGCAAATTAGAGATGTAAAACTACTGATATGATCTTCAATAGCAGATGAGGACAAGTCAAAAAATGCAGTGAATGCAACACATCATCTTCCATCATCTGGGATCTAGCCAGATGAAATCTGCCTCTCGTAGGGAGAGTGGGAGCTCTCAGCGTGCTCTCAGCAAGAACTTCCTACAACTGCTCCCCAGCAGGCACAGAGCCCTGGGAGAGAACGTGGCTGGCACAGGCAGAGGCAGGCGGGCTATGCCAGTCCCCAGGTTGTACGCGATCTCTTGGTAGGACTTGTAATGAGTACAGAGCACAGAGCAGCTGTGGCTTCAGAAACACACTCAAGTGCTTGAGGTGGCTCATATCTGCTCTCCTCACCTCAACAAAAAGGCTGCATAAAAACTGCTTCAGTATCTTCATTTGAATTCAGGAGTTAGATCCAAAAAAAGAACAAGCTGCCTCAAAGTGACCATTTTTCAAGAGTCAAACTCTTTACATATCTTCTTATCTGCTCTGGGCATATTAACACCAGGCTAGATAAAATCATCAGAGACAGTCTACCAACAATTGAACCTACTAAAGAAAAGGTGGACCGAGTAGGTCTAAATTCCCTTGCAGCTCCTCATTCTGTGTCTGAAACAGCCCATGTTTTGGCTGCATGGAACAAGGCATTTAGCTTCTTTTGAAATACTGGGAACCACAACCATGTTGTTTCTTTCTTTGTATCACCCACAGACCGCAAGCAGAAGACATGGATTAGGATCTACTAATTTAAGCGGGATTTGGGAAACCCAGATTCCATTGTCATTTGAATTTGAGCACACCTCATTGACCTCAGAGGCCAATGCTAACAACCAGCTTATGAAGTGTTGTGCTACAGTCCCTCCAATGAAGGTTTTCACAGTGCACGCTGTCAGCATTTATGAAGCCCAAAGAGTATTTGTAGGGACAGGAAGAAAGTGTAACCAGGGGCTTTCCCTTACTTGTAAGGAAGAAGGGAA